AGGAATTAATAGAGAGAAGCTTTTTGTCTACAAATGTATCTCCTTTCCTTTTATTTGCTATTATTTTGTCATGAAGTAGAATTCTAGATTCAAAATCATTTCTACTATTAATTTTAAAGGATTATTTCATCGCCTTCTAGCAGTCAGTTAGGGTTACTGACAAGAAATCTGATGCCGCCATGAATTGTTTTCCTTTGCAGGTAAACTTCTGTTTTGTGGTGCCTGAATTTTGGCTCTTCATACTATATTTAGCTATCACAAACTTAATTAAATTATCACTATAGATAGGTCTTATGGTCATCTTCTTAGGCACTTTCTCTTTATGGTTATCTTTGCTATTATGGCATCTTTATTTCTGATGTCTTTCCACTTAGCTTCTTATTTTTAAAAAAATGATTTATTTTATTTTTATGGTGAGGTCAGACATACAGAGAGAAGGAGAGACAGAGAAAGAGCCTCCATCCTCTGGCTTACTCCCCAAGTAGCCACAACAGCTGGAGCTGAGCTGATCTGTACCCAAGAATATATGAAAATAGAGTAACACTGGGAGAGAGACATAGGAAGAGGATAGGGAAATTTTCCATGCACTATTTAATTTCCCAAATGTCCACAATGTTGCTGAGGTCAGGAGCCAGGAACCCTATTCCAGTCTCCCACATGGGTTCAGGAACCCAAGTACTTGGGCTGTCTTTGTTGCTTTCCCAGGTGTATTAGCCTGGAGTTGGATTAGAAGAGAGACAGCAGAGGCTTGAGCTGCCACTCTGATATGGGCTGTGGGTGTTCCAAGAGGCAACATAACCTACTATGCCACAATGCCCTCTCCTAAATAGACTAAAACACCATCTGGACTTTATGAGAGTTTATTATAATCTTATCTTCTCTGTACCTCACTTATTGATAAGGTGGGATTCAAGCAGACCAAAATTAATAGCAAGTAAAGTCAAAGCAAGGACTGATTGAGGGTTGCTCCTGCCTATGCCCTAGCAAGCCTATAGCAAATGTCAGTGTGGCTTTTATGAGAAGTCTGCAGGATGCAGTCAGTCTTAAAGGCTTTTCGGTAAAGAATGAACAGAAGCTCCCACAATTTAAGATAGCCTTTCCCTTATCTTTGATCTTCATCCATGAAATGATTGCAAACCAATAAATATTTACTGTAAATAAGAGCTAAAACCCGAAAAATCACTTCCAAAGACATGAGATAACAGTGATGATGAGTCACTTCTCAGTGAAGAGCTTTAAATGGTTGAAATTTTAGAATTCAACTTCATACAGTGCTTTCATTTAAAAAAAACTTCGGTTGAAAGTCAGAAACAGATAAAAGGAATTCACCCATTTTCCTGGTTGACTCTCCCAGTGCTTACAACAGCCAGGTCTGCGGCTGGTTCAGTGGCATAGCAAGCTAATTCTCTGCCGTGGCTTCCCACATGGGTGCTGGTTCGAGTCCCAGCTGTGTGACTGCCTGATCCAGCTCCCTGCTTATGGCCTGGGAAAGCAACAGAGCATGGCCTAAGGCCTTGGATTCCTGAACCCATGTGGGAGAGCTGGAAGAATCCCCTTCTCCCAGCTTTGGACCAGCCCAACTCTGGCCATTGTGGCCATTTGGGGAGTGAACCATGAGATTGTCCAAGCCCTCTAAAATCTTGTGTCAGGTCCAGGAGCAAACCTTGTGAGGTCATTTCTCCCTGGGCCACCATCTCACTGCCCCTTATTTACATGCACACTGTCAGGAAACTTTCTATTTGTCAGTCTCCCATTTATCCCTCACTAGGTGGCCAGGAAAATAACGCATTTAAATGGGTAACACGGGAATTGTCCAGTCACTTCCCGGTTGGTTAGAGACCAATGATGGGGAAAGTCTTCTAGAAGTTCCTTTTCAGACAATGGGGTGGTCAGGGAACCCTTAAAAAACTAAGAAACTTCCAGAAACCTTGGTGTCTCTCCTCTCCTTAGGAGACACTCTGGATTGCTCCTGGCAGGTGCTTTCCTCTTCCTTCTTTTCTAGTCCACTTGTTACTTCATGAATAAAACTTTGCCTCTGTCTGCACTCAGTTCCTGGCTTTTTACTTCTATTCTAAGCTAAGGGAAGAACCCACCGAGCTTTGTTAGTAACAAGCCCGGGGATGGAAGATCTGTGTGTGTGTGTGTGTGTGTGTGTGTGTGTGTGTGTGTGTCCCCTTCTTTTTCTCTGTAACTTTTAAGTAACAATAAGCAAGTTAAAACAAAAACAAAGCCCACATAGCCAGTTCTGACCTGCCAGTAGCCAGGAGCTCCCGCACGGGTAGCAGGAATCCATGTTTTTGAGTTATTGTCTTGTGTTCTTTCTGGGTGCACAACACTAGAAAGCTGACATCATTAGGAAGGCAGCTTGGCCTCGGATTCACACGTGCTGATATGGGATGGGGGCATCTCAAGTAATGTGTTCGCCATTGTGCTGGACACCTATCCTTACAACTGCTTTTAAGTTACATGATATTTGGAGCATTGTCTTTGTTAGGTTTAAGGGCGAATTATTCCTGAGGGCTTTCAGGCATAATCTATACTTTTATTTTGGTATAAAGGAAAAAAAAACAGCAATAACTTCCTGCCCTGGCAAAACTTGCACATTTCTCCCCAAAACCCTCCAATAAAAACACTATTCTTTAACTTGTTATGAGGGTGTCAGGCGGGAGGAGTACTAGAAAATCTTCTATACCCTTGGGAAAAATCTGCAGAGGGTTTCCCACTGATAAATGGGCCAGTCTTCACATCTGAGGGTTATACAATATTCTCACTACTGTAATACAGTGGTGTTGCTCAGAGCTGTCCTGTCCACCTAGCAAACAATACGTTTGTTTTCTACTGATAGACCTGGGTGGATGCATGCATTGTTGACACTGCGATTTCAAGTGCACTCGGTTTCATTAGGCAGGAACTTGACTTTGGATTTCTTTGATATCTCTCAGGATGAAGTACAGCAAGGGTCTGAGCACAGTTCGGACAAAAATGGCAAGGAATATTGATTCATTAATCTTCTCTGAGATTTTTCTGGCATCTCTCAGAAACACCCAATACTTGTGCAGTTTTTAGAGCTGACTGAGAGATGTGAGAGAATACTTGATTTTGAAAATTTGAGAAAGGAACCCATCAGTTGTGTGAACGTGGAGATACATTTGTTAAGTTTATAGTTATTCAGTGTAAAGTCAAACGAACATTACTTTTTAATCTGATAAGCCATACATTAAAACAAACCAACTCCAGGAACTTCAAATTGACATCAAAAGCAGATTTCCCCTGCCCCCTCTTCCTAGGATGCACAAGATACATCTATAGGAACAAATATGTCTCCATTAGGATCCTTACCTTGGCATCAGTCTCTCGACTGGATTTTGAAATATAGAGTCATTGACAACAGATTTTAAAGGAAAAAAAGATCAGTAGATGTGGAGACATTTTCCATGGCTTAAAGAGCTCTGTATATAGTACTCAACAACTGCTTAGACACATTTAAAAGGCTTTTAGGTTAACCATTCAGGTTAGACCAATCCAATCATCACAATTCTATCCCATCTGTCTTTAGAACCTGGGAGACAGATCAACGTCTGAGCTACATGCAGGTGAATTCATGCATGGACCCATCAGAGGAAGCTAGTGCAAGCAAGAATGACTCTTATTTAATCATGTAACATTTCACAAACTTGTTTTGAAGCAAGCATCTCTTATCTACGATTTTTTTTGGTATTTACTAATGGTCTGTGATAGGGCAAATGTAGAGATTTATGCCTTATAAGAAAAGTCTGATTGAACATATTTTGTTTAAATTAATAAAGAACTGTGGAGAGAATTGCGGGTTGAAGGATTAGGTAATGAATAAGAGAAACAGGTGCAGGTGAAATATGACTTCCTTTGTGTACTCTATTTCAGGGAATCTTTAATTCACCTGAATACGGCCATGAGTTATGCACAGAGTATTGTATTAGAATTCCTAGTAGAAAGGATTTAGATATACACGTAAAGTTAAATATGGTTAGACAGTAAAATATTGATTGCTTACCACAAACAATGCAGCAGGGTATCTAACACTTGTTTTCCTTGTGGAACATAATAAGGCAATTAATTTATCTCTAGCTGAGTTTTATTTGTGGAAGTTTTTTTTTTTTTGCTGTGATTCAGATTTAAATATTTTATTTTGTGCATGTCACCAACAGCTCTCTGTTTGTAGTGTAATAACTGTTGTGCCGTTTGTGGCGGTTACTTTAATGATCAACACCTTGGGACCAGGGACACTTTCTTCTTTTACATAGTAAAATACAAGGCTCAGTGGTAACACAGCACTCTGGATATAAAAGCTAATGACTAATAGGAGAGTTCTGACCCTCTGAATTGCATTTACTGTTCACCAATGATTATATCATTACAAACGAATTAGATAGTCAATGAGGTGAATCTTCAAATCAAAGCTGCCACTTTGAAATTTTCAATAATCTGTTCACTTGTAGGATTCGGGTAGTATTTAATAGCCATTACTGCTCTATTGCTGGGGTTACGAGGCTGTGCAAAAACAGTTAAAACAGTTTTCTTACAATATCTTTTCTCTCTCTGTCTTCCTGTCCCTATTTCTCTTTCTCTAGTTCTCTCTTTTTGGAATCAAAATTATTAAAAAGTCAGAGTTCTGCAATGATTAGCTAATTGAGAGGGGGAAGCACACACACGGAATGGCATCTGCTGCTCACTCCTGAAGAGCCTGCAATGGTGCAGGTCAAGCTAGGCTGAAGCTGGGAGACAGGAAATCAATCTTCCGTGTGGGGGCCAGGAATCAGTTGTTTGAGCCATTTCCACAGCCTGGCACGGTCTGCATTGGCAGTAAGCTGGTGGCAGGAGTCAGAGTTGAGAATTAATCATGGGCAGGGCTATGTGGAACAGAGTGTATTCATTGCCTAAAACCCAAGTTCTTGGATTGTTTACTCTTGGTGTAAACTGCAAAATAAAAGCAAAGTAATATTGTATTTTCTATTTGGCAACAGCAGAAAAACAGAGTGGAAGGACTGAGCAGAAGTCAGCCGACTGCCCTGAAGGACTGCTGGTAGGCTTTGCGAATTTTTTGCTTCTGTCTCAGATTCATTCCTGCATATCATTTGTACCATCTTAACCATGCAAAGAAATATCACAATGATAATTTTTTCCTGTCTACTTGTAGAATTCAATGATCTTTATATCTGATTTTGCAGACTTGCATTGTCATTGTAAAAGTATTGCTTTAATTCTTTTCTGGATATCCAACTACTTGTATGAATTGGAGGAACTGCTAAAATAGAGCCTCTGTTTATTGCATGTTTGCTATGTCCTTGATGATATGCTGTTGGCATTTTTCACTATTCTATATAAACCTTATTGCACACCCATAAGGAAGTAGTTATCATTTCTTTTTTAAAATATTTATTTATTTTTACTGGAATGTCAGATCATATTTACAGAGTGAAGGGGAAGCAGAGAGAAAGACCTTCTATCCACTGGTTTACTCCTCAAGTGGCTGCAGTGGCTGGAGCTGCGCTGATCCAAAGCAAGGCGCCAGTAGCTTCTTTAAGTCTCCCACATGGATGCAGAGTCCCCAAACTTTAGACCATTCTCTATTGCTTTCCCAGGCCACGAGCATGCAGAGGGCTGGGAAATGGAGCAGCTGGGAAACGAACTGGAGCCCATATGGAGCATTCAGCCATTCAGCCATCACTGGCCTTATCATTTCTTTTTTCAGATGACAGAAATCCAAATTCAGGGCCCAGTATGGTGACTCCAGTGGCTAAATCCTTGCTTTGCACGTGCCGGATCCCATATGGGCACCAGTTCATATTCTGGTTGCTTCTGACATCAGATCAGTTTAGCTCTGGCTGTTGCAGCCACTTGGGGAGTGAACAAGAGGAAGAAAGATCTTTGTCTCTCCTTCTTTCTGGAATTTTGTCTTTCCAACAAAAATAAATAAATCTTAAAACAATTCAAATTCATATAGAAAAACTCAGCTATTTACAGCTAGAGTTGGATACAAGTTCAACTGGAATGTAAGCTAAATATGGGGGGATTTCTATATTTTGCTTGCTCATGCATCTCTAGCATTCAAGATAATTCTGGGCACCTCTGATGGTGGATGAATGAACAGGAAAAGAAATGATGTGTTCCAAAGTCAATGCTCTTTTTGCCGTAGAATTATTTTAATTCCTCTGGCCCACCATTATCAGAACTTTTTGAAAAGGGAATATTTTATGTTAGGGTTAAAGCTGATAAGCATTTGATAAGCACCCAATTCTAGCATCTAGCAAAGAAGAAGAGGTGTGGCTATCTTTCATGTGGGCTGGAGAAGTCTGTGCTCTTCTTTGTTGTCGTCTGTGTGGGTCGCCCTGGACTTAGGAGAACACTGTTAGGCACGAGCGCTTTTTGGACTGTGAGTTGATTAATGTGTGTGTGCTGCGGTGATAAACATGCTTGATACATTTTGAAGAATACTGTGGATACCCATGTTGTTTTGTTTATCCAAAATCTAGTCCATTTTCTTCTGCTAACAGCACTTTAAATTTTCTTTGGGAAATCATTTCTTATCTGTCCAATTCCTCATGACATTACTCTAGTTGAGTTGATTTTTTGGTAGAACGGGTGTGTTTTCCAAACTGGTTCAAGTCAAGTCAAGTCTTCAACACTTGCTGGAACTTAGGGATCGGACATCCTCTCTTCTCAGCTGGTAGGTTATTTGTTTGAAGCTGCCAGAGATGGTCATGAAGAAAAATCATGACTGAGAATGAAGACAGCCAAGAGGGAAAGCCAAAGGCTTGACAATGGAGTTTACACTTCTGGATCCAACCAGGCCTGATGTTTAATTTGCTTGTCCTTATTTGCTTATGTCTCTGTGTAGGATTCCTATTGCTTGTGATGGGATGAGTTCTCTTGCACATATAACAGCTAAGAGCAATCATATCTTTATATAAACTTCCTTTGTTTTTGCTTGTTTTCTATTTTTTTTTATAAATTACCTTCGATCATCAAATAAGCAGGTCACTGGTGAAATGTTCGACATTGTATCTGTCTTAGAATCTCATGTGGTTTATCCAACAACTCCACAAAGGTTTTCCTTGATACTGGGCATCAAGTGACTAAACAGAAATCCCTTCACGTATCTGGTGAGATTCCTAAGTAACTACCATGAGGGTAAAGTCAAATATGCTTTGGCAATGCCAAGTTAAACAAAGCTAACTGATTTATTTTCCTGTAAATACTAATTTCTTTAAACTAAGAGGAACTAAAGTAGATATATTCTCTCAGACATGAATTGTTGAACCCTTCGCTTGCTTCTTTCTCTAAAGTGACATCTTTGGAATTTAACTCAGGAGGATAAATTTGGGGAACTATGCTGAGTTATGATTTCTGATGAAAATTTTAATTGTATACTCCAAGAAAGGTTATGGCATCCAAGATCCAAAGGAATGGGTAGTTGATGGTTTCTGTCTCCTAGAAGGACACAGATTCAGACCCAAGAAAGCTCTTCTAGTGTCCCATGGTTGGTAAGCCTGATGACTTAATCTTTCCAAGAAAACAGTTACGAACATCCAGGGATGGGGGAGAGAGAGATAGGGAGAATTGGAAGCTGCTGTGACATCTGGTTCATTGTATGTGATAACTCATCTACTGTTTTTTCCCACAGAAACAAAATTCCTTTATTTTAAAAATTTTGATGGGCATCAAAATTTGCTAATTTCAAGCATCCCGTTGTGTTCTGTTTTACAGTACATGGAAAGCTAGACTGAATGAACCTTGGCAATCTGATGATGAGCTAGATCTAGAGGTTGTCCCATTTCACCACTCCAGTTATACACATATATTTTAAATTCTGGTTCATTAGAGGCTAGTGCATTGGCTCAACTGGCATAATCCTTCACCTCCAAGTGCCAGCATCTCATATGGACACCAGTTTTAGTCCTGGCTGCTCCACTTCCCATCCAACTCCTTTCTTACAGCCTGGAAAAGCAGTGGAGTGTGGCCCAGTGCTTTGGGACCTTGTGCCCTTGTGGGAAACCCAAAAGAAGCTCCTGGCTTCTGGCTTTGGATTAGCTCGGCTCTGACCATTGTGGCCATGTGGGGAGTGAACTGGCAGATAGGAGATCTTTCGGTTTCTCCTCTCGGTAAATCTGCCTTTCCAATAAAAATAAATAAATCTTTAAAAAAAAATCTGTTCAGTTGTGCTACATGTTATAAAAGTACAGTGGTACTTCATAGATGAAAAAATGGGTGTTTCAACAGGAACACACACAAAGTGAATGATGGAGCTAGCACTTGAACTTTCATCTAATGCCCATGATCATTCTCCTTGGCCATATTTCTTAAAACAAATTGTAGTCATTGCACAGCGGAACTCTAAAATATTTCCTAAAACATCTCACAGTGTTGCATTAGTAGGAGTGTCATGAATATAACATTGTGTAGCAGTCACTTGGAAAAATACTGTAGGGATACTTCCTTCCAGAGGTAAGAACACCATTTTTTACCAAGGTGGAAAAATTTTTATACAATTTTTATTACCTGTTTAAATGAAAAATATGCATTAATAGGAAATTGAAGATGGATTCTCTATCATTTTCAAGGTATGTGCTCAAGTAACTTGTTTTCTGAATATGCCTTTGGAGAAAATGACCTGTCAAATAAAAAGTCTGATATTTTTAGTATTCTCCCTTTGAAACACTATTTTTTCACCACAATAAAATATATCCAATTAATGTTCTTTTGAGCAAAAGACCTGCAATTAAGTTTGTATTTCAAAGTTGACCTCTCCAAGGGACAGGAAATCCACATAAAAAATAAAGTCTCATCTCCATGGCTTATTCACGTCTAGTAAAAATATACTTGATTTAAAATGAAATTGGACCAGAACCTACTGAATCTGAGTTTCAAACAGTTGATTTTACTTGTGTTGTAAAATGGCATTCAAAGTTAAATCAAGTAGACCTCTAATGCACAAAGATCATGCTAGAATGTTTTTGCTCTCCATAACTCATTGGCTTTCAAAATCATTGAGGCATTTCTTTGCTCTTTTAAGATGTCTGCTATCTGACATATCCTTTAATGGATATTCAGGAATATACCTCCTTACTCTTTGTTTTAAGAGGTGGAGATTATTTCTCCTTAGCATGGTTTCTCTGCCTCAGCAGTAATTAGTTGGATGGTGAATTAAATGAGTTACACCTGAGTTAGCTGAGCGCCTTAATCTGCCTGCATGAGTAGGAAAATTCTAAGGCTCCTACTGAACTGAAAACCCAATTCACTGGCAGGAGAGAAGGTGACAATGGTTTCAGCTAATGAGCTTCTGTTGGAAAAGATTGAAGAGTCATTTAAAAATTCATTCATTGGCTGATATGGCCATCAGAGTGACACATCTTCACACACTTGGTCTGGCCACCCAGGCCTCTGTGTGCTGTAGTTCATGTAACCCTTTCTAGAAGGGCTATCTACACTGCACCAAGGACCACATTTTAGCAATAGGAGCAATTGTATGATGGACCCATGTTTCATAAGCAAACAAAATTTGCATTTGGCTGACAGTACCCAGTTTTGGGGGAGGGGGACATGGCTGTTCCATCTTCTGTTTGTTTCTAAGAGCCAGAAACAGCTCTTGGCATCAGTATTCTTAGTAGGTTTTCAAACACTCATCAGAAAACATCAATAGCATCTGCTCATGCCCCAACATTCATTTGGTGGATAGCTCCAGCTAGCTGGATGTTTGATTCTGCATCTTTCCATCTTTAAACTTAGTACTGTGGACTGACTCCAGCATAACTGCCTCAAAATAGTTGCGTTTTGGCTTTAGCCTTACTCATAAGGCCTGGACCACCTGACCTGAAAGTTGAGCCAAAGATTGTTGAGTCTAATTGTACAGTATAGTCCCGGCCTCTTTCTGACTTGCTGAAGAATCATAATTTCTGTGCACAGACACCTACTGGCCTGTATGTGAGTTGGGTTAGAGAGCTGGTTGAGAGTGAGTTGGGGGAGAGCCAGAGACCAAGATTTCTAAAAAAGATATATTTATTTACTTGAAATACAGAGTTGCATGTTATAGAGAGAGAAAGAGGGAGAGAGGCAGGAAGAGAGAAAGAGGGAGAGAGAGAGAGAGAGAGAAACTTCCATGGGTGTAATGGCAGGGAGGGCTGGGCCAGTCTCCTGAAGCCAGGAGATTGGAATTCCATTTTGGTCTTTCACATGCTTGGCAGGCCCATATTCTGCTACCTTTTCCTACACAGTAGCTGGGAGTGAGATTGGAAATGAAGCAGCAAGAACTTGGGCCATCTTTTGCTGCTTTCCCAAGCCATAATCAGGGAACTGTATAGAAAGTGCAGGCAGGGCTTGTGAAATA